AGGAAGCTTAGCCAAATATTTTATCTTGTTCTTGTTCGGTGTGTGTGTGTGTAAAGGACACAATTTAGCTTTTTTACAAAGTTAGAGCCAGTCGATGCAGTTCTCAACGGAATTGCTTTTTAGTTCAAACGGTCGACTGTGCGATGAAATATTCTTAACTCTAATTACACTTTAAAAAAAAAAGTCAATTTTAAACTGAAACATCAGTTCCAGTCACATTTAATTCAGTGTTTACTTAATATCTCATAGGTTTTGCCACTTGTCTGTGTGCGAGCCCCCTGGTGTTTGGCAGCAGTAATGCAACAAAACTACATTCTTTAGCATCTCGTGAAAGGTCAACTCAGCTACTGTGTTTTGTATAAAGTATTAGCAGTAAGGTGTATAATACTGACACCTGCAGGGCTGAGATTGGCAGACATTTTTGAAGAAAAGTCAGTGATTTTTACACTGTCAGCATTTATAATAAAAAAACATAGTACCAGGTCAGGGGTCAAGATTGTTCAAAATTATTGATAATAATAAAAAGGAAAAACATTAAGTTAAATCTGAAGCAATTAATATGACTGGGACAACTAACTTAATCAGTATTTAATATTTTGTTGCACGTCATCTGAGGCTGTTCAGGGGAGGTTGTCGGTTTGGATCCCCACCTAGGACATAAGCTCAAACAGGATATATAAGGTTTAAGATTAATTCTATTCAATTGTTATGATAATTATTTTAGGGTTGAATGATCAGACAGATGTTTGACTTCATTCATATTGATTGTCTGGCATTGACTTCTTCATTAAAAAGGTAAAGCACGACAGCTGGGGTCACAATTGAAAAAAAAAAAATGAAATTTTCGAGGCCGTGAAATTTTATCTTTTTTTTTTTTTTTTTTTGAAAAAAGAAATTTTCAAGACCGTGAAATTTTATCGTGTCTTTTTTTTGCAAGTCAAGACTAAAAAAATTTTAAAAACTAAAAAAAGGGAAACTCATCAAGACTAAAAAAATTTTAAAAAACTAAAAAAAGGGAAACTCAACTCAGTCCAGGGATTAACTGGTGGAAATGTATCTCAGCCGAGGCGTCAGACTCTGGGGGTTTTATGTGCATCTCCCCTACAGTATATTCCTGTACGCCGTGTGGCTAGTACGGCTGACAGCGCCCATGTGCATTTTAGCGTCTACGTGTGCTCGCTGGCTCGCCGCAGTGGTGGGTGAATGAATCAACCAGGCGTGTGTGAAAACACTCCGTCTGGACTCCCTCCCTCTTTTTTTTTCTCTATTCTTTCTATCTCTGTTGCAGCACATAAACAAACTGCATGGTCGCTCCAATTCACACCAACACACACACACATTTACACACATGCGGAGCTGTGTTTTCTTCCCATGTACTGTCGCTTGAATTAGCACCTTCGTCAGTGCCAGGCAACACACACTCAGGAAGCGAGACCGAGGAAAGACGCACAGTTAACAGACATGGTGGTGATTATTCGGAGGGAACACACTGAGCATTCCAACTGTACCCACACACACACACACACACACACACACACAAACACAAACACCAAACCTCATTCTCAAGCTCCATGGCGGACTCTTGCTTTTGAAATTTTTAGACTACGGTTCATTTTCAAGTAAAAAAAAAAAAAAAAAAAAATCAAATGGGGTAAAAAAACCCAACAATTTTGTCCTTTTTTAAAACCAAACCTGCTCCTTATTTCAGGTTCTCATCTGTACAAAAACAACGTTCGATTGTACTCATACCGCAGGGAAACACAGTGCAAAATCTTTGACTAACGTCAACAGCAACACAGAGCATTGTCACAAATGTCGGTCAAATTATTAGGGGAGTTCAAGTTTTAGGTTTTTTTTTTTAAAGCGTGCCACTAGTCTGAAAACCCAAGCACTTCCTGATAAATCAGGCCACTCAACACTGGTCAAAATATCAGCAGCATCTTCCTGAAATAAAAAAAGAAGGGGCTAGTTGGGGATTGAGATTAACAATCATGCTAATATATATACGCGTTGATATTCATATCAGCCTGTGACGTCATCAGGCCGCTGTCAGAGAAGTGTTGATTGGATGAAGTGAAAGGAAAAGCAGAATGGGAAACAAAAGGAATGAAAAACAGTCGGATCTCTGTCTGCGTCCACTGACCTGCAGCACCGGCTGCTGCTTTTCACATACATTCAATATCAAAACAACAGTGTAGAAGAAGTATCACTCGACTATGGGGTTAACCCCCCCCCTCCCTCCCTCCCTCCCCAAGGAATGTCTGTGATTGATTTAGATTTAAAAAATGGGCCTCGCTGTCAGAAGACGGATTTGAAAACTTAAAAAAGCAAAATCGATCAGGCTGTAAAAAGTTGCAGAGGAATGAAGAGTTGAGAGGAGGGGGAGGGAGGGGGGTGGTAACCAACAATCTCCTCCTGTTTCCACCTTACAATGCCTTTTTTCTCTCCCTCTCCACCAGGAAAGAAATTAGAAAAAAAAACAAATGTTGACCAACGAAGGAGGGCAGACGGAGGACACAGATTAAAAAAGTTGTAAGAAAAGAAAACTGATCCCCCAGAAAAACACATCGGTGTCAGGGGGGAGTGAAAACTGTCATCGTGACGACAGGGCGGCCGCTCTTCTCTACTCTTCGTATTTTAACCCCCCCGTCCCCCGCCCACTCCACCCGTCTGTCAGTTTGTCCATCAAATCTGTCCACTCACTCAAAACAAAGTGCTGCTGTCTCCTCCCACTCCCTGCAGAGCGTCTGCTGGTGTGGCTCCGCCTCCCACCTCGTTACCGTTAGCAGCGGCAGCTACGGCATCCAGGGATGTGGGGTCGAAGCCTTGCTCCGCCCCCAGAGCGTCGGCCTCTATCTTCACACTGTCCGCCAGGAAGGCGGAGTAAGCCTCGCTGTCGGCCATCAGCAGTTTGAGCTTGGGGATCCAGCTCTTGCGGACGACGCGGCGGGCGTTGGTGCACATGTCGGCCGCTATGGCGTTCATCTCAGACTCCTTGAAGCTTGGTGCAAAGTTCTGGCAGTAGACTGTGGGGAAATTAAGGTGGGGAAATATTTAAAAAAATATTTTTGTATTCTCTAAGATTCAGTGAGGGAAAAAACATTTTTACATCACCTGGAGATGCTGACAGACAAAACAACAAAATGAAGAGTTAGTGGCAGACAATAATCACAATAAACAACACCTCTGAACCCGAGGCTCACCTTCACGATAACATCCACAACAACAGTCAACACAACCAAATTAACATTTTACACATCTGCACCGACAGCAGCCGACAAATGTGCGTGCGACTCACATTTGACAGCGTGCAGAACTCTGTTGTCCAGAGGTTTCCTGCTGGGGTCGTTAGTTGACGAGCGGATTCCCGTTCCACAGCTGTTAGCTAGAGTGCTCCTGAGCGAGGACGACAGAACGCGAGAGTCATCAACAATTATAAAATACAACAGTGATGTACACGTTTAACATATTTCAAATTTAGATTTCACAATCCGTGCGTGTCCCCAAATGCAGCTCGTACTCTGCATATCTTCAATGGAAAAGTCATGCCTTATATTATCTAATAAAGGAGCACTTGCTTTTTAAAGATGAGTTTCTCAGTTTATTTCTTCCTACTGCTCTGCTCCTTGCAAAAATATTACACATAAACAAACATTTTATATGAAAAGTAACATCACTGCAGCTTTCTTTCCATAATATACTGTATATTGAAATATAGTTTAGGAGTGTGGAGAAAATGTGACCATGACATCATCTGTGCCACTGAAAAAAAAATCCTTTGTCATTTTAACCTGTTTATTAGAAAGTTAATTAGAAATCTGTAGAGAAGTTTACAAACTTCATCAAAAACGAGGTTTAATAAATATTCCACTTAAAGGATCGATGCACTCAGAGCAGATATTGGCAGTTTGAATGATGCCTCCATATTTGAGGCAGACGGCCCAAACCGACCTGTCGAAGAAGGCAGCGAGCAGCCGTCGCAGCAACACTTTGTGGCGGGTGCCAGCGCTGACGTGGCAGTTCATGAGCTGGGCACGGGAGATGAAGACCGAGGTGCCGCTCACCAGCTCCAGCTTCTCTGCCGGGTCGCCCTCCTCGTACAGCTTTGGATGGCAGCGGTTTCCGATCTGGCTGATGAGCTCTGCGGGCAGCGATGCCAGGTCCTGTCGGGTTCTTCCGCCCCTGCCTCCCCGCCCGCCGCCTGTGTCCTGAGCCAAGTCTGGCAGAGCCTCCACTCTTTCTCCCACCACTGTGGAAGACGAAAGACTCATGAATTTGTTCATCCTGGAGTCTAGACTTAATGTAAAGTTTGAGTAATGCTACTAATGTGAGTATTGTTTTAAAGTGAAACCTCTCTCTAGTGTGAGAGCAACAAGCTAGCAAGGTGAACGGCACAACAATCGTTCCTTGACGATTATCTTGTTTTCATTAACGTCGTTTCTTGACGATTATCTTGTTTTCATTAACGTGGGAGGCCAAAAACGTTTGTGATACAATTGCCATTTCCAGTCCGGTCAAGCCCTAACAGGCAGCGCTGGCTGACCATGTCCCATTACGCATGTCTGCTGAAAACCCCCTGCAGCCAACAGCGATACTGAAGCCAGAACTGCATTTCTGAATGCATTTAAAAATGAGACTTACAGGGACGTCTATCTTAGAGAAAAGTTATTTTGGAATTACGGATCGATGAAGCCACAGATTTGCTGCCAGCCTGCTCTTAGCCAGCGCTAATGCACTGCAGACGATTCATAAGCCTAAAGCAGAGTCTGCAGATTTGAGTGATTTATCTCATTTCTCTGTCCTGAACCGGAGATGTTTACGTAAACAAAGTTTTCTCTCCTTAAGTCATTCCTTCAAAAAGGTAGAAAAAGTGAGACTTGTTTAACAAAACAAGAACTTTGTGGATGTGACCTTGAAATGAACTCCCACACAGAGATATTCCTCAGCTGTCAGAGCTTACCCGCTGCCCCCGCGTTCAGCATGCTGTACATGGTGTACATGTTGCAGATCTGTCTGTACTGCTCTTCGGCGCTGTCGTCGGCTATCTCGTCCTCTTCCTCCTCGTCGTGGTAGCTGATCGGCGAGTCGCTGGTGTACATGCTCAACGTACCCGGGCTGGTGCCCTCGGGGGTCCCGCCGTTCATGTTGTTGTTGTTGTTATGGTTACTGTTGTGGCCGGCTCCTCCCACTGAGGTAGCTCCGTTGTTGCCGCCGTTACCCATGGGACCATTGGCCGCCGTGAGCCCCCGTCCAGACGCGTCCTGGGTAGTGTTTGAGGAGGAGGACGAAGAAGAGGAAGAAGAGTAGCGTGCAGCCTTCCTGATGCCGCCTCCTCCGCCACCTCCTGTGCCCCCGCCTCCATCACGGTTTCCACCTTCCCATAGCCTCTTGGCCACGGGGGTGCAGACCACAGAGTAGGGAGAGCCCTCCTGTAAGGAGGAGAGGGAACACTGGGTTAGGCTGTGATTTTGATGTTTTCCCACAGTGTGTTTAAATAACGTGATACACATTGTTATTTAAAGACACTGTGGGGAAAACATTAGAGAAACAGGGCTGGATGGACAGTGGAAATATAGGATTTATTCTTTTAAATGCATCAGACAATTGAATCAGAAAAATTACACAAATGTAATATCATCAATTCTGAGGTGATCTAGCTGGGATTCAACCCTCACTCTGCATGGTCAGGCCACCTCTTATACATTTTACCCCACGATAAAGAACGCAACATTCAACTGAAATCACTGTACCGTAATACCACGCCACATGCAGGGCAAATTAATAGGTCAAAATTCTTTCCTCAATATTGCACATTTAAATTGAATTGAAAATGTTCAGTGTTCACCGATGCCACTCAGCCAAAAATGTGGCAGACTGTATAAATAGATCGCTGATGCTGAGTGCCCAGGCACATTGTGCATCAAAATCACTCGTTCTCTTTTGCTGACTCGGTAACTGCAGTGTGCCAAACCTCCTCCTCCTCTGCTTTTAACACAGTAGCACAGAAACAGTGGGCTGTGAGTTTGGCAGTTTGGGTTTCCATTCCTGAGCGCCTGCAGGTCAGCATCATCACAGTGTTAATCACTCGATCAGATTGGTGCCAGTCTCGGAAGCAACGGAGCGAGAAATCTAAATACATTATGTTGAAAAACATTTAGCAGGGATGTATGTTTCCCACTCAGTTAAAGAGATGTGTTTTTAAGATCATGTCCAAACAGTCTAAGCACAGTAAAATAAATTTGTCCCAAGAGGCAAAAAAAATCCCAGGGACAGAATTTTGTTAGAAAACTTTCCTAAAAAAAACTAGGTCCAGGTCCAAACTCTTCTGCTGTTGTGATGTATGTGCTGTCACAAAAAACACATTTCTTCAAACATCAAATCCCATGATGTGGAAATGAATATTTTTTGAAAAAACACATTTCTTCAAACTTCAAATCCCATGATGTGGAAATGAATATCTGGAATCACTAAATATGGGCTTCAATGATTGATAACAACTTACCAAAAACAAAGAAATTCACCGTCGTCACTTACAGATTCCTCACATACATAGCAGTTGACAGAGCTGTTTAATATTTTAAACGTAAAAGAAGAGTATATTTTAAGTCACAACGGTCACATTTTGTTAAAATAAAATATAATACAGCGCTTTGTGAACAGGCCTTCAAGTTATTACAACAAAAACCCAGGTGGACGTTAGTGGGAGTGAAGAATCCCTGACCGTCTCTCCACGCTCTACTTGTTTATGGTTATTAGACGGGGGCCTACCTGCTGCGGCTGCGGAGTGGGCTGAGGTGTGGTCCCGGTCTGTTCTGTTTTTACTTTGGACACCAGGGGAAGAGGCGTCACACACGAGGAAGGCCTTCCTGCAGCCGGGGCAACGACCGCGGCTCCGCCTCCTCCGTCACACACGAGGAAGGCCTTCGTTGGGGCAACGACCGCGGCTCCGCCTCCTCCCACCGTTTGAGTGACGGGGCTCTGGGGCTCCGAGGGCGGGGTCTCTTCTGCGTGGAGACCCTGGGAGTCACAGCTTGGAGATGAGACCTGTGGGATGAAGAGTGACAACGTCATTTCATTTAGATTTACAGTATTTACAGCATCATTTGAACCAAGGTCCGATGAGTCACTTTTGTCATGTATTGCGGAATCAAAACTGACATTTAAATCCCAGCGATCTACCAACACTAACGACGGCACAATTGATAAAAATGTCCTGATCAGATCAACTAAAAATAATATTTGAACTCCTAGAAACTCAGCCAACAACCAATCATCTGCCACAAAGCGTAAAGGGCAAGAATAAAATAAACACATCTAACATGGGATTGGACGGTGGACCTTTTTAGTACCACCAGAATTACATGTACACAATACAATATATATATTCATGAAAGTAAATATAAAACAGAAAAACTTTTTTTTTAATCCCACATCAAACAACTCTGTTTCTTTCATTTGTACTTAGAAAATCAAGTACACTGTATACTTGCAGTTTTGTTGTACTCAAGTACACTGTATACTTGCAGTTTTGAAAAACATCACAGGTACAAATCAGTCACATTTATATATAAAAGGCAGCAGTGTTGCTTCTTTAAAATCCGTGGCAGAAATGCATTATGATTGGTTGGGATCGGGCCAGAGTAACTGTCTGTACTTTCACAAAAAGCTCAAATGGCATCTCAGATGGTATTTCTTTTCCCTGAATTCAATCATTAAGGATTTCAGCCTCCAGTTTCACGACATACTTTAGATTCCTGGTGCTCGGTTAAGTACAGAGGTATGCATTAATGGACATTTTAGGCAAAACTATAAAAACACGGAGCAGCAGCTTGACAGCAGACATGTGTGGAGTGAAGTGAAAAGACTTTTCCCAGCCCATTTGTCTGCTGAACGGCCGCAGCCACGGCTCTAATGGCATGTTGTGTTTTTTTTTTACTGCTTACAAAAATCCAGGGTGTGAGGTTTCTCTATTTTCTCTTCTTATATTTTTTCCTGCCTATTCAGTGTACATTCCAGGAAATCAGGATTCCTCATTAATATGTAGATGTATGCAGCGAGGCACGCCAAATCTAATCAGACCTTCAGACACAAATAATGACAAAACACCATGAAGAATGTCACGCTGCAGACAGCTGTGAAAATTAACGCCCTCATGACTGATCCTTTTTGGCTCTTTGTGATTACAAGTCAGCAGGATTTTTTACGTAGCGTTTCTGACATCCGGGGTGTCATTACCTTGAGAAAAAACTCGGTGCCCTTCTCCATGATCTGCTGAATCTGGAGGAAGCCTGCCGTGTACATGAGCAGGAACTGGTCTCCAACATTCATGCTGAGGCGTCCCGTGTAGCAGAAGGCCAGGATCTGTTGGAAGCTCTGCGGCTGCACAGCGGGAGGTAGCTCTACCACCGAGCTCTTTCCATCAGCGTTAAACAGATCCCGGAAGTAGGAGCTGCTGGCTGCCAGAACAGCACGGTGGGCCTGAGGAGCAAATGGCAGGGAGGGATTAAGTAATGAAGGTGATTTGTTTGCACTTGTTTTTGGTTTGTGGCCATGACGTGTTTCCAACATGATAATTATCTTCCTTTAACTTATGGTGTATTTATAGATTTTTTTTATTCCTTCTCTGTATCTATCTGGTATTTATACCTTTGAATCTGCTCATGTCACAGTCCATAGTACTATAAGGTGGATATTTTCCAAAACACGGACAAATATGGACCAGAATAATCTCCAGAATAATTGCCCAGCTGCTGAATGCTAAACATATGGCAGCAGGTTGCAGTTTAAGGGGAGAAATTCCCCCCGTAATGTCCTAATTATACCTTGATTATTATTGGGTTACTGTTAGCAGCCATAATTAGAACACATTATGGCATTTGTCTCCCTACAGAATAAAAAAACAGAGCTGAGTTCAACTAATTTTAAAGTGGTTGCCGTGGTTAAAACAATAAATAACACAGATCTTTTACTCATATCTGCAAACACAGCCATGAGGATCAGTTCAATAGGTAAATCAATTCCTGCCTCATTTTGTTTTTACTTTAAGATCATTAAGTTACACAGAAATAATCTAGGGAACACCTTTGGCCAACAAGGAGCGCAATTCTGGGCAGGCAGCAGAGCAGAAAATATTGGCAAATATCCATCCAAAAAAAAAAAAGGTGATAAATAAAAGCAAAGCAGCTTTTTTTATTACACCACTAAAGAGAATACATTTTAAATAATTTGATTTGTACCTTGAAGGCGTGGCCTTTGACAACCACGGAGACATCACAGTAGAGGCCCTGCAGCCGCTGCTCGTTCAGACACTCCAGGACATTGTTGCCAAAATTGGGGATCGCCATCTGCAGCGTCTGAGCCATAACGCCCTGCCCAGCACCACAGGGTCTGCAGAAAAAAAAAAGAAAAAAGATGACAATAAAATACAAATTATAGACTTCATACCAGCAAACGCGCAACCAGGCTGAAGATCTTATGGTTTTTTTTAAATAATTTGGTAAAACCTTTCTTATGGGGTTTTTTTTTAAATAATTTGGTAAAACCTTCCTTATGGTTTTTTTTAAATAATTTGATAAAACCTTATACGCGACGAGCACAAAATTCAATGTGAATTCTATACGCGACAAGCACAAAATTCGACGTGAATTCAAATGACTCCGAGGAGACACTGTATCAAATGCATCCCTTACAACGACACGAGGCGGACGGTGAGTGGAGGATGTGGTCAACAGAAAGTTTAGATTTGCACAGATGACAAGGCAGAATAGAAAGTTACACCAGTTACTCGAGTGGTTTAATTAAATCTGGTGGAGTTGGTTGACTGCTGTGGACGTTTGCAGCTGTCATTTCGTCAGCTCTCTGTAATAACACAACTGCTGGCTGCTTACATAACTTTGTGTGTTGCGATGATGAGATCGTGCTCCCCGAGATGACTCACATGACCCATTTCTGTGGATGCACGCACTGCACAATTGCAATTTGTTGCCAAGTATGAACGTTGACTAATTTTAGTTTTTAACTATGGGGGACGATAACATATCTATATATATTAATATCTACAGGTCAAATAGCTGCCAGGGAGAAGCATTGACCTTTAAACAATTAAATAACAAGACTGTTTTGGTGCTGATGTATAGAAGTACAGTGCTCATATGGAGACTTGTGTAAACGGGGGCAGTGGAGGGCACAGAAATATTCTTTAAAAAAGGGTCAAAACACTTTTGCAGACCCAAATACTGCTCTACTGGAACACCGGGTCTTTGCAAAACTACTTCCTGCTTAAGACGTAATAAATAAAATAGGGCTGTCAACTGATTCAAAGACTTAATCGGATTAATCACAGCATAGCTGTAAATGAATCATGACTAATCATGGTTTAGTGGTGCGCCGTTTGTTTGTGCAGTGGCTAAAAAAAAAGTTGTGGAACACTGAGGTACGGTAGTTTGTTCAACTAAAAGATTATTGTGTCTCCATTTTTGTATGGGCTTCAGCAGAGGAAGCCTCTCAGATGGAAGATAAACACTTCATACTCAGTTTGAGTCACTCTGTTGTAGCAGACAGCCAAAATTACACAAATGGCTGTTGGAAGTAGAATTAAAAGACACAAAAGTCTTTTTTTTTTTTTTTTTTTTTTTTTTTAGTAAAGTGACAACAGCTTTAATTTTGTAGTTTGTTGCTCTTAATGGACTGCATTAACGTCAATGCTGACGTCAGGGATCGACTGCTTGTAGGGAATAAAGTGTGTATTAATGTGTACAGAACCAATCAGAAGTACTGTACATGTATGTTATTCACAGATGACTGAATGAACAGCACACGTGTCTCTTAGTTTTTTTTTTACATATTTAACACAGCGACTCACTGTGTTTCTCTTTAAAGACACAGTGATGATAATCATTCAGCCCATGGTGATGAATTAATTCTCCCTAATTTACTGAACCCATTCTAAGGAACTTATAATAGAAAATGCGTAGGCTGAGAAACAATACAATCACTGACCAGAAGGACTGACTGGGCAATGAATGCGTTTCCTTTTAAAATGAATTAATTTTACACAACATTTTGTATAGTTTTGGTCTTTTTAAAACACATCCTTTTTTTCTTCTTTTGAATCCCAGGATAAAATAAACCACGACAGTTTCTACGTCCCTTATTATAAGACACTGATGTAGTTGAACTTTGCTTTCTAAATTCTGCCTTCAAAGAGCAAATGAAAAACCCAATGTGACAATCATTGTCAGCTTGTGTAACACACAGCTGTCAAGGTCTCTCACAATTTTCAATTTTTAAATGTTTTTCTTTAAAGTGAATCTGCAGTTCACATGAAAATCTAAAACTGGTAAGTAAATGCAGGTAGGCATTTTTTTTCTAAATGTGACTTTAACTTTCACAATACAGGCTGGGATTCGTACCGTCAGCAGGATGCATGATGGGTCGGACAAAGAATTATTTCCAGATTGACCTTGCTCTTTGACCTCTTGGGACGTACATGAGATTTGACCGGTGTGTAAAAGAACGCCTGATGGAAGTCAAAGCTGCAGCAGTTTGTCTCTACGTTTCTAAAACAACTTCATTAGTTCCCTACATGACGCAGCAGGATGACGGATGGACTTTAACTCGGCATGAGGAGAACCGCCGTCAGACCGACGGTGGATCATTTTCTCTCTAATTGCCAACTCTGAACAATGGAACTTCTCCTTTACAGCAACGACACAGTAGGTTTGGTGAGAGGCTTCCAATTGTGAGCGTGAAGCGAAGTGATACGACGCTGTGTCGTGCACGCTCAGCTAAGCTACTCTGGTGAAAAATTAAAGTTTAAAAATGTTTGCTAAAAAAAAGTCTTAAAGACAAGAATGAAGGAAAGTCACTATCTCTGAAACACTGAAACATGTCTCAGAATTCACATCAGACAATGTTTCAACATTTGTACTGTATATCACACAAACTAGTTCCTATATATATCCGACTGTGTAGCTGCAGGGAAAAAAAAAACAAATCACTTGCAATAAGTAAATAATTAATTGTTGCTAATTAATTTGATATGCCGAGTGAACAAAACTAATTAAGCCACTGAGAACACTTTGTATAATGCAATCTAAGAAGGGCAACAGCATCGTTTTAATAACAATATTAAGTTTCACGAGAGACGTCTCTGAATTATTTTGCTAAAAATTCAATAATGACCTAACGTAACTAAGTCTTTGTTTGGCTGCCAGTTTATCCTGACACGGTGTTGTTGTGCTTTAACAGTCGTGTCAATGGAGGAAGAAATCAATAGGAATCACATTATTAGGATTATAATTCAATCCAGCAGCTCGCTGTGACAATTCTGTGAGTTACGGTTTGTTTGGTTTTTCCTAGGATTTGTTGACACAAACGACCTGATTTCCAACTAAAGAATATAGATATCACTCATGAGCAAAATAAAAATAATAATCAAACTATAGATTTAGGCTTTTGAATAAAGAGTTTTAGGGGGAAAAAGAAAAATGCAAAAAAATGCAGCGTCCACACTAACACGTGCAAACAGGTGGTAAAAATGCAGCGTCCACACTAACACGTGCAATCCCCGTGGCCTGGAGCAAGAAATTGAACCGACAAGTGTCCAAGTGGAACCTCTCAGCCACCAATGGAAGACGCCAGTGATTGTTTCCAGGTGTGGACACTTTCTCTCATATGAATAATAAACAGGCAGCTGCTACAGCAAAGGACTCTTCAGAAGAAGACAATCAGAAATGCAAACAAATAGAAGAAGAAGAAAGAAGAAGAAAAAAGGCAGGGACTTAACTTCAGCACCTACAATAGCAAGCTAGAAAACTTGGAAGTATTTTTAAAGCATTTTAAATGTATTTTTTAACAGCTAAGGGTAAAGAAATCCATGTTATCCAACTTGACTCAAACACGCGGTCCTTGGACCTTGAAGTCATCCAAGGACTCCTCGGGGCAGACGCCGTTTACTACTTTCAGGTCAAAAAGGTCAAAACAACTCCCATGAAACATGAAGGGCGGTTAATTCACACCACTTAACCTTTAACCTGCAGGGCCCGTGTGCCCCATTGTATTCTCTCTCCATGTCAAACTCTGTGTGCTTTTTAAATAGGATTAACAGACCAAAAACACTGTCCCAATGAGGCTGAAACCTCAGAAAAAAAACACAACAACATCTTTATAAAGTGTGTCACTATATAAAACATAGTGTGTGTTGCAGAATTCACTTTCTACTAACCTGAAGAGGCAGAAGAGGTAAGGTTTTCAAATAATTTCTGTAAAACAAATGAAGCTTAAACTGAGACCTAATGTGTACATTTTCATCCACTACTACTGGAGTACACCGTGTACACACCAGTACACAAACACATCCCTCCTTTTGTACATATTTTACACACTTAAAACAATTATTAGTCTATTGAAATCTTTGTTTTTCCAGTCTACTCAGTACATTTAAAAAAAGAAATGCAAATGTGTTCATGAAACTGTAAACAATGACAAAGGCTTTAACTATAACAGAATACCAAGATTTCCACATACTTTGTGTTTAAGGTGAGATTCTAACATGTAAAAAGAATCAGTGCAATAGAATGTTACTGTTTTATATATATTTTAAGAATTAAAAAAATCATCACAAATCTCAAAGTAAATCTTATCTTATCTTAATGTAACATCATACTACAAGTATTAACACATGAAGCAGGTGATTAATTCGGATGAAAACCAAGTTTTCACTTCACTTCATCGTACGCCATTATCGAACGATACTTTTCTCGTGATTTCAAAGGTAGCCTGTTAGCAGGTAGCAAACTAAAGCTAACTCCTGGCATCAAACATTTGACCAAAGCAAACAACTGACAAAACGTACCTTAAACAACACGGGACAAACACCAGCGTCTCCGAGTTCAAAGGGTATTTAAGGCCCCAAAAAACATGTGTTTTACCGATATTAAAAAACCCAAACTGCCGCTAAAAGTGTCGCCTCCGTGGAGCACAACCGGAGCTAAAACTCAAACAGCGATTATCGCCGCGTACAACACCAACAATAAATCATTTAAGCTCACGTTAAAGTCGTGCAGAGCTCTCGTCTCGCCAGCAGACGCGTCCGGGAAGAAGCAAATCCAGCGCCGCCACCTCCACCAGCAGCAGCAGCGGCACAGCAGAGCAGTCAGAGCAGGCAGACGGCGCACGGTGCCCCCGCTGCGTGCCAGCCTCGATGCCCGCTAGGATCCGGGGAGTCCTCGGTTGGCCCGGGCCGGTGTGTGCGTGCGTGCGCACAGCGACGGGACGGAGGAAACGAGGGAGGGACAAATGTCGAAGGGAGCGAGACGAGATACAGCTCTTCTGCCCCCAAGCAGGCACACTGTTAGCGACCAAGTATGAACCTCCGGGGGTCGGGGGGAGGCACAGAATGTACCCTAAAACATTTAAAGGAGATAAAACATCCAGCAGGTCCAACCCACGTCTTTTAAGGTTCTGTGTCGCGTCCGTAGAGACCGACCTTTTCCTTTCCCCTTTTTACCCCACCGCACACCAGCTACCAGACACGGGACAGACACGCGCTGCGTTTCCCCTCGTTTCAAAATGTCGCTACTGTGATATATCACGGCGAGTTATTTAATTATTTATAATCCCAAATATGTGCTTTATGAACCTGCAGCGGTTTGATTTAATTTAAGTAGGTTTTCACCGGAGGGGGAGGGGGGTTTAAATGAGTGCTTACAGCACAGGGCGAGTGGGGCAGACCATCCTTAGCCGACATCAACAGGTCATCCCGGGACACAAATGCGCCGCAACTGTGGGCGAGACAGACGAATGGATCCGGCATGGCGAGATGGGAGGAGGGGGGAGGAGGAGGGAGTGGGAGGCGGAGGGAAGGGGAGAGAAAGTGAAGAGGCTGGCTGTGAAATCTTTAACCCGTTTATTGACAAACAGCACAGTGCACGTTGTGTTTGTTTTGACAGAAACAGGTTTACGTGCGTTTTTGTTTGCTTAGAAAAAAATATGTTTTTTTTTTCTCTAAAAAAAAAAAAGGTTTAGAGAAAGTTGAGGAATGTCAGGAGGAGGAGCTGAAACTTATTAAGTGGCTCACCGAGGCAGGGGCGTAGCTGTTTATTTTCGGGCTCCACCTTGTTTGATAGCCCACCACTTATTCTGCAACTTTATGTGACAAGTATGTATATTTTTTTTTTTTTAAATAAAATAATAAGTGACTAAATGACTGAATCCCAGTAAGTAGATAAGTAATTTAAAAAAAGTTTAAGGAAGAGTTAAAATCTTTAAAACACCCTTCCTGTTGAAAACATGGGATTTGTCCCAACAACCCCATGCTAATTTCTTGGTTTCACCCATACTGTCCACAAGGGGGCGCTTCAAACACAATGTTTAACTCAGTTTTGTTTTTAAGCCAGAATTTTAGAATTTAAGGTGCACAATGCACTATTTTTTAATTTGTCATAAAAATTTGCACATAGCAATCGCTCATTAATTTTGATCGTTATAATCTCAGTCGTCTGCATTAACCTAATCATGGGCTTTAACACAACACTATCTGACATGATGTAGCATTACTTTTAAGTGTACGGAGGACATGCCGTGTCACTGCATGTATACCGGAGTCAAAGAACTCACTTTGTGAAAAGTTGCTTTGGGTTTTATCAATTAACTAATAACTACACTTGTCTCGTTTATTAGCACAAACTATTTTGTGCTAGCTTCTCGTCTTTTGCAGTCTGGACTGATTCTTTGCTTTTTACAGCAAATGTACGGTTTGTGTCATCGTGATCTTCATTTGGCCTCGTCTATAATACAAAGTTTTCAGCAGAGCTAACTGGCATTTACAAGGACTTTTGTCTACGTTTAAGTGATGTGTTTACACCTGCTAGTTTTTATGAAAACGTCTAACAATGCTGACGGATGGAGGAATTTTACTCCGTCTTGCTTCTACAGAACATTCCTTAAGCATTCCACTCCATCATTCCACTCTTTT